CCCCAAAACCCCAAAACCCCATTAGTTAAAATATAATGAATTAAGTGATAATGGATAATTTAAATTTAAAATGAACAACAATAACAATTTCAGTTCGAATTCTACTCAATTATTGTAATAACTCTACAAAAAGAACCTATATCTCAAGTAATCCTGGTTAGACAACTAATTCTCTAGGGGATTAAGGACTGAAGCTTAAATTATATCTGCATTCAGCAAAGAGCCAAACATTGCCGAAGCAGTAAACCAAACAATGCTCAAGAAATTTGACTTTAATAAAGAATTAAAAGTGACTACTTTAAATGTGTCGATGATTGTTCAGATACAGTAAGCATTTAATATTGGAGTTAGTAAGAGAGATCAGGATGAAGATGTAAACCTCGAAGAAGATGATAAGGATGAAGACAAATTTGAAAATAAATATTTAGACCCTGGAGCATTAAAAGAGAAGAAGAAAATAAACAGAGATGCCAGTAGAATGATGAAAATTACGTTCACTGATGGGCTTAATACTTTTGATGCCTTCGAAGAAGAGAGACTCAAACATATTGATTGCTTTGGTCAAGGTCAGAAATTTCTATTGAAAGCAGGAATTGAGGTAAGAAGAGGTATGTGCCTACTTAAAAATGACAAGATTTCTTATTTTGGGGATATTCCGATCATTCCACCAAACAAGTAAGAAGAAAAAAAGAATAATTTCTTCAACTAGCCGAATTAAAATTCAAACAGCAACAATAGATATAACAATGCGAATAGCAATTCATAAATTAAAAACACAAACTAAGCCAACAACTAAAATATTAACAGCAACAATATCAATCCAACTGGTGGCTAAAATAGATAAAATAATTAAAATTTTACCAATAATACTTAGTTAGGCTACAGTGAAAACAAATTACAAAACTAAAATTAAAATACTTATCAGAATAATAGGCAGTAAACAAATAATGCTCCAGCAAATAATTGGAATATCTCAGACAAATAATAATAGTCTTACAACAATCAACAATATGGCAAAGGCCCTAATCAATCCAATTAAAAGTAACTTAAAGAAGTTTAGACAAGCTACAACTATGCTGACTTCTAGAGTTTAGGTAGTTTGAATCAAAGTAGCGGATTAAATTCTAGCAATAACTAAAGGAATCAATCTGTTAATAATATAAACATTCAATCAGACAGCTTTAAGTTAAGCAGCAACTATAGTTATAATAATTCTAGCATGAATAAAAGCATAACGAATTAATAACCTTAGACATATAACGCCCCTCTCTATGCCAAAACTGCACAAAGATTGGAGTAGATGGATAATCAGAAATAAAAGAATGGTGTCAATAACATGCAGTTCCAAGAAAACTCGGAAGAGATAAATATAGATGAGTTAGAAGACTTGGTGAATGAATTAAGCTATGAAAATGATTAAAAGGCTAATGAATCAGCTATATATGACTACAACGCCTATATTGATAGTTAGAGAGTGCAATAGCATTAGCAAGTATAGCAAAGAATTAGCAATAACATCGTTCCCTCAAGTAGTAATAGTAAAAACTAACAGAACAACTATTAGTATAAATAAGCACAACCTCAATAGTAAACGAAATAGTAGTAGAAATTTTAATAGATGGATGATGACAATGATTCAGAATTTAGTGAGATTTGCTTTATTGATATCGATTGATTTATGATAATAAGATATCGTGACTGCTTATTTGAATTTAGGTTAGGGGTTTTTTATGTTGTAAAGTGATATATGTAAGTGAATGGCTTTTATTATTTTTTTGGATTATTTTAATAATTCCAAGCCAATAATAGACTATTGTAATGCTAGGGGTTTTGGGGTTTTGGGGTTTTGGGG